GTGTGTAAAACTGAATGTAACAGAAGAAAAGGGTGCATGAATGAAAGTTCAGTTATCTTTTAAACAAGTTTTTAATTTAATATAAACAGATTTTTCTGTGGTTTTGAGCTCAATGGCTCCTCTCCATTTAGTTCACTTTGTGAAGTTTGAATTAAGGGAGATTTAGTAAATGTACAGCAGTCACTGTGTAAAATCTCATTCTACTAGTTATAGGAATAGTCATTGGTGTCTTTTTCCTCCTTATAATTCTTAATGTGTCGGTGGAAGAGAAAGCTTGTCTAAATATTGAAAATAATGGTCCTCCAAATTCCAATTCTTCTTGCTTACTAGTATTGGGGTTTTTTCTGTTTCAAGCAGTTTTCAAGCAGAAAACTGCATTAGCAGTTATACCCAGATTATTAGTCTAATATCTATCTAATATCTAATATCGAAGTCTGTCCCAGTTTCACCAAATAGGACTTGCGTGTTTGTCTGTAATGAGAAACTTCTACTCCCAGTGTTTGTCTAACATCTTGTACCTGTTCGCTTCATAAATGGCTGTGAAAAGCAAACAGTTGCAGTGAAGCTGCATCTTAATATTTCTGACTCAAGAATTTGCTATGCTGACAGTGTTGGGATCAACTCCTTCCTCCTCAACCGCTCACTTCACTCCAAGGGAACTCTCACCTTGGTGCAGTGGGACATGAAGAGGGACTGTGTGCTCAGCTGCCAGCAGCTCCTCCCTGATTGTGCAGTGTGTCCTGGGCAGGGTGGATGGTAATAACTGGCCTGCCAAACCTCAGCCAAATAACTGTGATCCAGCTTGCTGTACAATAGTACCATTGCTACAATTGAAGACCAAAGAATAAGCTCCATGACTATCTTGTGCCTGTTTGAATCTGCAGTTCTTTGTATTAAACTTGTGTTTGGGTAATATATGCATTGACAGTGAAAAACAATTTTTGTCTCTTCCAGTACTCAATCTGCAGTGAACCTTTAATTGAATTATCCAACCCAGGTGCCAGTGGGTCCTTATTTTTTGTGACTAGTGATGACGAGTTCATCATCAAGACAGTTCAGCATAAAGAGGCTGAGTTTCTTCAGAAGCTCTTGCCAGGCTATTATATGGTAAGTAATTGAAGACTTTTTTTTAACCTGTATTTCTCCTGTTTCATGTCACACTTCTGAAGTTTCGGTTTCATTTGTCTTGTGATCCTTCACTGAGTTTGTCTGTTTTCTCATTATATTTTTGACATTTTTATCTGTCTTTCAACTTTGTACCCCACATACCCCACAGAAAGAATAGATATAAATCAAGAATATATACAAGATAAGAATTGGTTTTTTAGCATTCAAGATGAAACTGAATGTCATCATCTGATTTGATACCAAACTTTGCTTCTAATCAGCTAGTAAGAAAAAAGGTTTCTAAATTTCTAATTCAAATCTTTTTCTCCATTTTGTGTGTTTGTCTACCCTCTGCATTTCACTCAGAGTGGACAAAGAAACTAGACCGGTCAGTTTCACTTTTGTTTTTGACTACTTTAATGTCCATTTCTCATGTATTAAAGCAGTGATATAGACGTTATTTTTATCCATGTAACTTGTTCAAAACTGAACTTTTAAATGAAGCTTTATGAGGGCTAATGCTAAGTCGATTGTACTGGGTTTTGTGTGTCAATCATCAGAAAGGAAAAACATTGATCCACTGTAAATAAAATCTAATTCTTTTTCATTTTGGGTACCCAGCCATACAAACAGAGATTCTTCTGGGTGGTATGCAGGACTTCCTATTATTAGACCTGTGACTGACTTTTCTTGCTCTGTTTTCTGAAGTAAATACTTGAAAAATTACCTTCTCACTTGTACTAAAAATGAAGAATGTTGTAATTATTGCATGTTACTTTAGTAACATAGATTCACTGTTTGTGTAAAAAAAAAGGTGTACTGACATATTAAAAAGGGCATTGGTGACAGGTACTTTTTTGGTTTTTTTCTTATTATGATAATTAGTTCAGCATAAGTTTGAGTTATTGCAAGTAAACATAAGGCCACTTTGTGTTGTTTCTGGTGACTTTATTCTCACTGTTAACATAGGCAATATTTTCCAAAGTATAAAGCTTCAATCACTGTGATTATTTCCTGTGAAAGTAAATAATTGTATTTCCTGTGAAAGTAAATAACTCTGATATTTGTGTGTTGTGACTTAGTAATCATGTAAGACCTAAAGCAGGTTTTCCCCTACTTGATTTTTCATGCCAAAGACTAAGAGCAATTGTATTTAGAAGGAGGACTTTATCTCTCACCTCTGTTATCCTCTCCTCCTTAATTTTTTTGCCCATAGTGGAATTCGGATTATTTCACACTTTTCTGTTCTAATGGTCAGTTGTGGTTCTGTTATAACCTCACACTCCTGTGGAGACAGCTTGGTCATTTGGCACTAACCCTCATGGAGACAGGGGTTCTGTTTTTCAGAATCCAAGTTAAGATAATTAAAACTGCATTTGACCCAAACTCTTTCCAGCAGGTGGAATGCAAAGGTTGTTTGGGTCAGAATGAATAAAGTCTTCAGGATGCTTTTATTTTTAGCATCATCTGCTCTTTGAGAGAAATCTGCAGTAACCTGTAGTTACTGCTCTGCTCTTGGCCTACATAAGTTCCTATCAAAAAGGCACTGGTTATACTAGCTTTCTGAAATAGAGACCAACAAAGAAAATCAAATGGTCAAAGAAACTGTGCTGAATAAGGAGATATGCACAGTTTTCCTGGTGTTTGCTAATGTACTTTGCTATTAGAAAACCCTATTTCTTATGCATGCAAGTTTATTGAAAATAGACGTATTTAACAATACCTCTTTTGTTTTAGAATCTGAACCAGAATCCAAGGACTCTTCTACCAAAATTTTATGGGCTGTACTGTGTTCAGTCAGGCGGTATTAATATTAGAATTGTTGTCATGAACAATGTTTTGCCACGAGCCTTGAAAATGCATTTCACATATGACTTGAAAGGCTCCACGTACAAACGGAGAGCATCAAGAAAAGAGAGAGAGAAGTCCAACCCTACGTTCAAAGACTTGGATTTCTTGCAAGACATGCATGAAGGGTTGTATTTTGACTCTGAAACACACAGCGCGCTAATGAAAACACTACAGCGGGATTGTCGAGTGAGTAAAAATTATTGACTATCTGACCTGTGCTCACCTCTGCTCTAGGCTTATCTCAGGAAAACAGAGAGCAGAACATGGCTCTGTGTGTTGTTTAACCTCCATTCATTTTCCATGGAGTTTAATTAGGGAAAACTATGGATGTCAGAGCAGTGATGAAGCCTGTATTTGTGTTAAGCTGTTGGGATCTAAGATGGTGGAATCATAGAATGGAATGTCCATATACTTAATGAACACCAAGAGGCTAGGAGCCATGAACACTTCCTTGGGGAATGTCTTCCAGTGCTTGACTACCCTCTCACTGAAGAACCTCTGATCTAAACTTCCTCAACGCACCTTTAAGCTGTTTCCTTGCATCCTACCACCAGGCACCAGAGATCAGCACCACCCTTTCCACCCCCCTCATAAGGAAGTTGTAGACAGTATTGAGTCCTCCCCTCATCATTGAGACCATATCCTCATCTGCTCTTCACAAGTCATGTCCTCCAGTCCTTTCTCCATCTTTATTGCTCTCCTTTGGACACATTCTAATGCTTTTATATCTTCCTTACATTGTGGAGCCCCAAACTGCACACAGTACTTGAGGTGAGGCTGCAGCAGTGCTGAGTGTAGTGGGACAGTCACTTCTCTCAACCAGTTGGCTATACTGTGCTTAACTCACCCCACGGTACAGTTGACCACTTTGGTCCCCAGGACACATTGCTGACTCATTGAGCTTATCATCTAGCACAACCCCAGGTTCCAGGGCTAAACCCCTATTTCTCTGTACAGCCAGGATTACTCTGATCCATCTGTGGAAATAGAGATTAATATAGGAGGGTAGTCTAGTGGAGTTGATAACGATGATTGCTATTGGAGAATTTAATTATTTTCATGCCAAGGCACAATTAGCTTCAGAAGGTGTGTTAGGTATGATAAACTGTATGTAGAGCTGCAAGCTCCATATTGTTTCAGTAAATCTGCCTCTTTGTAGGTTAACAAGGGCTAGGAATGGGAAGGCAGGCCTAGTGGCAGCAGTCTTATTTCTGGAACAAAGAAATTTCTTCCTCAGCTGAAAGGTCATAGTTAAGGCCCACATAACATTTTCAGGTGAGGAGACGGATATCTGCCATTGTTGTTTGAGAGGACATTGGTGAATGGCATCAGCTGCTGTTATGGGCAGGGAAAATTGTTGTGGTTAAACAAAATGGATTTTTTTTTTTTTTTTGTGTGGCAAAGGTAAGAAAACATGAAGTAGGAAAAGAGGGAGTTACCCAGGTTTCTCTGAGTTTCCTGAGATTCATAGGGTCATGGAGAGAAAAAATTGTCTGTCTGAGAGGAATCACAGGAGTTTGATAATAAAAGAAGCAGAATGGATAGGCTGAACTCATCACATAGAAGAGGCACCCTGAATATCAGAGTTTGTTGTTCGTCACCATCTGTGGTACACGATGGAAAGCATTGTTTTTGTGCATGAATAGAATTTTCTGTTCAGTTGTCACACAAGTCTGCAATGCCTTGTGATTGGTTTGTAAAGCTGGGTGACCTAATGTTCAGCTGCATATTCAGCATGAGACATCTATCTAACACCACACATTGTTCTTTTTGCAGCTTCTCACAGTAAGTATTTCCTGAGTTCTTGCCATGTGTGATAATGCAGAATGCATCAGTATGTCACATCTGTGGATCTGGATGCCCTTTTGTGCATCCCCCACTTGTTCAAGGTTACTTACCCAGTCAAAGCCTGGCAGATCTATTGTATAGAAAATAATAAAGGAAATCTAATAGAGGGAACTGGACTGAAAAATAAAAACAGGACTCATTTAATAATTACAAGGGACACACTGTTTTTTTGAAAGTCTGGGTAAATTCTTGCTGCATGTTATTTGAACTAATACCAGTTTTTTCAGTGTGCAATCTTAGTCTAAAGTTCTTAAAGGCCCAGTAAAATTTTAACATTATTAAAAGAAGCATACTGTCTTTTAGTAACCAGTGTGTATACCTAAAAACACATAGATATACTAAAGTATATGTCTGTGTGTATCTGTAGATATATACACACACACTGAAGGTTATATGTATATAAAAATGTATCAGCCATTTTTCTTCTATTCAAATAATTCTTACTCTGTGTTGTAAAACAAAGGGAGCAGACAGTGTTATCTTTCATACAGCTGAATTTGCTCAGCAAATGAGGTTGGATCTGACCACCTGCATTGTACTTCTACTGTTAGAAAGAAAGGAGGTGTTCTGTCCGTGTTGCTTAAAGGACATCACAGAATTGGTCAGGTTGGAAGGGACCCCAGTGGGTCATCTGGTCCAACCTCCAACTAAACTCTGTGCCACTGATCACAGCTCTCCAGGATCTGTCACTCAGCCAGTTCTCAATCTACCTCACTGTCCACTCATCCCATTCACACTCATTTTCCGATGAGGATGCTGTGAAACACAGTGTTGAAAGCCTTGCTGAAGTCAAGGTAGACCATGTCTACTGCTCTCCATTCATCCGTCTAGGCAGTTGTTTCATCACAGGAGGCAATTTGATTGGTCAAACATGACTTAGCTTTAGTGAACCCATGCTGTCTGCTTCTGATCACCTTCTTGTCTTCCACGGCCTGCAGAATGAGGCATTCTGTCTGTCTTGCCACTGCTTTTTCTACCCATGTGATATTTAGATGGCTACTTAATGTGAGCGATGACTCACCTAAGCTGTTCAGGGTTTCAGAACTTGTAATATCTTCTTACTTTTGTGCCAAAGTGAAAAAGTTAGTATAGGCACTGGAATTAAAAATTTCATTTAAGAAAGGAAATTTTTTCACCTTCACAGTATTTCAGGACTAAGAAATTCTCTACTGTGATACTTAAATTTGGATTATATTTTCATTGCTCATATCTGCAATCAGAATCAGGAAGCAATGGATGTTTTTCCTGCTGCTTTAATCTGAACATCCCTCGCTGGCAACCCTTCTCCTCCTTAAGCTCCATCACTAACTTCAGAGTCCTGGCAGAACTTGCTGGTGATAACAATGGTGGTGGTGGGAACCTGCTGTGATCTGTGTCACTGAATCTCCTGCCCCATTCAGCAAGGGGCCTGCGTTTTCCACCAAGAAGTGTAACTTTGCAGTGTTCCTAAAGATGTTGTATTCGGGAGTTTATCACACACACAATGCACACACTTGAAAATTTGAACTAGCTTTCAAATTCGAGACTATTGCTGGGACTTATGGTAGCTAATCTGTCCTTGCCATCAGGCACTGATGTAGTTACTGGGGTGGGTCAGGTGTGGAGACAGGAGACACGCTACAGGAAAATGGTGCTAAAATAAATGAAAATTAAAAATATTTTAAAATAAATAAATTTTTAAAAGTTCACTTGCCTAAGCAGCTTCCTAAAAGTCTTTGCTTTGAAGTGCTATTCACTCCAGATTGTTTTAATCTGGAAAGCAAATGGTCCTGCGTTTTGTGTAATAGAAAATGATGAGAGCATTGGAAGCTAGTTTCAGTAGGTGTGATTTGTTTTTAGTAAGCATGCTGTTAGCTACTCTGATAATTGTGTAAAATGATGATTTATTAAAGAATAGAGCAGATTCTCTAATTTCCAGACAAAATTCTGCTCATGAATGAGACCAGGAATTAAGAGTATGGCACATAAGCAAGTTCTAAATAAGAATAAAGTCAGTAAAGATATTGAAGATGGTTTGAAGTGCATTTGGGGATTTCTTTTTTAAAGGTGAAGAAAATGAAGCTCCACATCAGATTTAGCTGCTGTTGTGTTCTGTTACAAAGACCTAATCCTGCAGAAATTGTCTTGGTGTGGAGGAATACTTCTGTGGGGCGAAGCATAAGCTGTGGCACTTAAGTGATGCATTAGGTATGAGTAACATTAGCGTGAATCTGTATGAGAAAGGCTAGGAGTTAATGGTAGCATTCTATTTGTCACAGGTGATATGGAATCAAAGTAAAGCTAGGCATCCATTATTACTTACTTGATGTGTTACTGTAGCTCTTATGCAGCTTAATAAATACAAATTAGCTCTGTTCTGGGCAGAAAGCATGTGGAAGACATCTATTCTGTACAGGGAATTCACTGTCCAAAACACACAACAAAGTTTGGCTTTTGATCGCTCCATGTTAAAAATGAAGATAGGGTTTTAAAGAGGTACATGTCAAAAATTATTGTAGGAAAGGCACACAAGCACATCGCATCAGAATATGTCTAGTGGTTTGATTGTGAAAACACTCTTAATGTCTTTCCTGTAATCCTTTAACATACAGATGAACTGGTAACTCTTTATAAAAAGAAAAAAAGAGGGAAGTCCCTTTTAAAACAGACAGTGTCATGGTTATACAGAGATATTACTCTACAAATTATTTCTCATCTAGTTACCTAACAAAGCATGTTATTATAACTTTAGACAAGTTTTATTTATTTCAGGAGAACAGATAATCATAGGATTCTGTATTTGTAGATCTCTGCTTCACAGACACACAGATACTGTATGTTCTTGAATGTCAGCTAGTCATATGCAGGAATTTGGGGTATTTTATTAAAAATAGCTTCATCGTGTTTTTCCCATTCCATCTGCTGCTGAATTCAAGGAAAAAGAAAATTGAAGAGGGCTAAAAGTACAGGTACATGTAAATGCGGTTAGCTCTATTAACTGGCAAAATGGAATAAAAAATGCCAAGTATTGTTCCTCATGCTCTTTACTTTGTTGTTAATGTCTGCTTAGTGAGATGTTTTCCTCACTCAGAAAACCTCTCTTTGTCGGTCACTAGTCAATTCTTAGTATTTATCCTCTTACATAATACTTTCATGTATGTAAATATGGGAGATGAAAATTAACTATGCAAATAAAACAGTATGTATTTTTTTATCCTGAAATTCTGGATACAATTTCCCAGGAAAACTGCAAGATTATCATATTCTAAAAGCTGAAGGTAAGACTTATTCCCACTTATTTAAAAAAGTGGGCCAGAGTGCTATAAGAACACTAGTGATCTTCATTTTTTACTTAAGGA